AAATCCCAGAGCAGCTAAGCTAAGATCAAGGAGGTTGAGAGGAACAGGTCCTAGAAGACATAAAGAGGATGAGGAGGAAGTAAGTGTACTGTGTATATATACACATATATATAAATACGTTGGTAAAATAGGTCATTGATTCTGATACTGTTAGGCTAGCAGAGAAGGCCGGGCTAGCCTCGACAGTTAGCCGCTGCCTGACACGTATGCTAAAGGTATAGCAAAGCTATAGCGGGTTAGCCATACTGTATGTATCTATTGTTTCTGCCAAAATGTCAAAATGATCTCTCCGTTTCCAAGGATTTTAGGAATTATTTCTTCAGTTCCTTAAATGGATACGGCGCGGAGCAATTTTTTTTTTTTTTTTTGCCTCACAGCAAATATTAAATAATTGCTTAATGCATTTTCTGTGACATCGCGACCCGCCCAGATGCCACAGGGCAGCGAGGGCCACCCCGTCACTGCCGCGATGCCGGAGTCAAGTCTCGGAGGAGTAGAACTAGAATCAAAACGAAGGACGAATAAAAAAAAAAAAAACGATATGAAGGCTCCTCTCTTACGTGTGCAACATATGTAATGAGGGTCAGAGTGCCTCGAGGCAACTCCGCTGTACAGACGTGGAAAATAATTTAATTTATGAGGGAGGGGTGGAGGAGGAGCAGCGGAAGAAGAAGAAGACGGGAGAAACGGCTCTCCGTATCGAAGAGGATGTGCATCGTTTCGTTTAAGAGGCACATTTAAAAAAAAAAAAAAATTCTCCCTAATTAAATATTCTGTTTTTGATTCAAATTTGTCTACTTGGCCTTTTTACCTGATTGAAATGTCAGGAGCATGGAGTATTTCTAGCATGGGTCCCAAAAAAATGAAGCCAGCGCCTTCTGGCAAAAAAAAAAAAAAAACACTTTGAATGTGAAGTGCAGTGAGATCTTTGAGGCATATCTGTGCAAAAACATAAATCTTCAGACAGTAAATCCCAAATGCATGAGCCGAGAGGCCCCAGCAGTGTCAAAAAAAAACAAGGCTTTGGTTTTTCCAGATTGATCTTCTCCGTGTCTCGAAAACGTCAGACCGGTCAGTGGCCTTAGTGCGCAAGCTGTCACTCCGCCGCGGTATTTCCACTCACTAAAGCAAACGTCCATCGGATCCGACACATTAAGAAGCTAATTGCTCCCCTCGGACAGGACTGCTAATTATCGGGGAGCCGGTGCACAAATATCAGTGAAGCAAGAGTAGACAGAGGCCAGTAATGGTCAGAAACTCTCCAAGCCACAA